TGGTCTGTTTATTGTTAATTGAATAAATTAACCTGAAAGAATTCATGAAAATTTACTTTTATTGATTCAGCAACATATTTCCCAACGACAACAGAAACAACTGCTGTAACAACAGTAATAACAACAAGTAAGTGACTCTCAGTAACCATAGGATAATCTATTTTAGTATCTTAGCACCAATTGTTATTATTGACAAGACATACTTTTCTTCATAAAGCATCAAGCTCATATTAGCGTGTTCTTAGTTAATGCTAGTGTGTTTGGTGTCGATTGGTATTGTAAACTATAATTATTTCAGCCACGGTTCATTTTAACCACAGATGAGTAAAAATCTTAAAAATATATATTTTTTCTCTGTTTGGTTAAAGTTTAACACCGCTGGTTTAGGAGCAGATTCAATATTTTTTACAAATGTGCAGAAAAATAAAGTAATGCTGATTTCCCTGATAGACTCTTTATTTGTTCAGAAAGTAATTCAGAGAAGATGAACTCCTTTCAGTGATACTTTTTCTGGATTTAGTTACCAGTGAAAACCAGGACATATTTAAGAAGGATTGCTGGGCCTTCTTTGAACATGTTCTGAGGGAGCTGGGGGACCTTGAGTATGAGTGGACCAGGTTCCGTGCCTCTATTGTTGAGGTGGCTAGTCGGAGCTGCGGCTGCAAGGTTGTCGGCAACCCTCAAACACGCTGGTGGACACCAGCAGTGAGGGAAGCTGTCAAGCTGAAGAAGGACCCCTTTCAGGCTTTATTGATCTACGGGACTCCAGAAGCAGCTGATATGTACCGACAGTTAAAGCTGCAAGCTGCTCGGCTGGCCGCTGAGGCAAAAATTCGGATGGGGAAGAGTTCGGAGAGGCCATGGGGAAAGACTTCCGTACGTCTTCGAAACGATTCTGGTCCACAATCCGGCATCTCAGGAGGGTGAAGCAGTGCAGTACTACCACTATTTATAGTGGGGGTGGTTCGCTGCAGGCCGCAACTTGGGACGTCGTATTTAGGGGGGTGGAGTACTTGGAAGACCTCCTTAATCCCACCAACACGTCTTCCATTGAGGAAGAAGTGCCTGGGGGCTCCGGCTTGGGTCCTTCCATCTCTGTTGCTGAAGTCAATGAGGTGGTTAAAACGCTCCTCGGTGGCAAGGCTCCAGGGGTGGATGAGATTCACCCTGAGTACCTTAGAGCTCTGGAAGATGTGGGGCTGTTTTGGTTAACGTAGCTCTGCAGCATTGCGTGGACATCAGGGGCTGCTCCACCACCCCAGTCTGCATCAGGGGCAGACTGGGGTGGTGGTCCCTCTACGTATTTAAACAAGGGAACCGGAGGGTGTGTTCCAACTAGAGAAGAACCACACTGTTAAGCCTCCCTAGTAAGGTCTATTCCGCGGTTCTGGAAAGGAGGGTCCGTCAGATAGTCGAATATCGAAATCAGGAGGAGCAGTGTGGTTTTCGTCCTGGCCGAGGAACACTGGATCAGCTCTATACCCTCAGCAGGATTCTGGAGGGTGCATGGGAGTTTGCCCAACCAGTCTACATATGTTTTGTGGATCTGGAGAAGGCATTCGACCGTGTCCCTCGGGGGTACTCCGGGAGTATGGAGTACCAGGCCCTTTAATAGGGGCTCTTAGGTCTCTGAATGACTGGTGTCAGAGCCTGGTCCACATTGCCAGCAGTAAGTCGCACTTGTTTCCGGTGAGGGTTGGACTCCGCCAAGGTTGCCCTTTGTCACCGATCCTGTTCATAACTTTTATGGACAGAATTTCTAGGCGCAGCCAAGGTGTTGAGGGGATCTGTTTTGGTGGCCCTAGGATTGCATCTCTGTTATTCGCAGATGATGTGGTCCTGTTGGTTTCATCAGTGCGTGATCTACAGCTCTCACTGGAGCAGTTTCGCAGCCGAGTGCGAAGCAGCCGGGATGAGGATCAGTGCCTCCAAATCCAAGACCATGGTCTTGACCTGGAAAAGGGTAGAGTGCCTTTTCCGGCTTGGGGAGGATTTACTGCCCCTAGTGGAGGAGTTTAAGTATCTTGGTCTTGTTCACGAATGAGGGGAACATGAAGCGGGAGATCGATAGGCAGATTGGTGCTGCGGCTGCTGTGAAGCGGGCCCTGTACCGGTCTGTTGTGGTGAAGACAGAGCTGAGCCAAAAAGCAAAGCTCTCGATTTACCGGTCGAATTACGTTCCTACCCTCATCTATGATCATGAGCTTTAGGTCATGGCCGAAAGAATGAGATCCCGGATACAAGTGGCTTAAATGCGTTTTCTCTGTAGTGTGTCTGGGATCTCCCTTAGAGATAGTTTGAGGAGCTCAGTCATCTGGAGAGGACTCAGATTAGAGCAGCTGCTCCTCCACATCAAGAGGAGCCAGTTTCAGGTGGCTCAGGCATCCGATTAGGATGCCTCCTGGATGTCTCTTTGGTGAGGTGTTCCAGGCACGTCCCACCGGGAGGAGGCCCAGGGGGAGTCCCAGGACACGCTTAGGACTCCCCTGGAGGAGCTGGTCCAAGTGGCTGGGGAGAGGAACTTCTGGGCCTCCCTACTGAAGCTGCTACCTGTCATGATTTTATCAAGAGCTCAGACCCACATGCAGAAAACCAATACAGCGAGACCAGGGGAAAATTTAACAGGTTTATTGAGAAGATTGTGATGAATCCACTGTAGCTCTGAACACTGCTCAACCGGAACTGAAAAGTGAGGGGAAGACACTGCGGTTAGTTCAGGCTCAGTGGGAAATTTGATTCTCGAAATTGAAGAGGAGAAATAGATTGCAGAGTCACGTTTCCAGAAAATGGTTTACTCTTTGACTCAAGTCGGTGTGGGGTCGTTCCAGTGTTAGTCTCATTCGATGGAGGGCAGATAGGGTTTACCCAGAATGCGGCTGTGTGTAGGTGAACGGAGATGCTGACTGCCACTTAGATTTTCTGCGGTACTTGAACGGGTTGTTGTGGAGATGAATCCCCTGTTCAGAGAGAAGCTCCAGACATTCCTTGGGGAAATGGGTTGATCAGAACCACACCTTCGAATCCTCAGCTCAGCTTGATTCTCAGAATATCCTTCCAGGGGAGAGAAGGTCCGAAACATCCAGTTGCAGGATGACTTCCTGCCGAGAGGCAAAGAAAAAACAACAAGGTTAAAACTCAGGTAGACAAAAACTCAGTTTGACTCGGCAAAACTCAGCTTGGCTAGAGTACCCTCACAACTGGCAAACACTCTGGCGTTGAGGTAGTGGCAGTCAGCAGCTTACGAGCACTCCGTTAACGAGGTAACCCTCCGCAGGTGTGTGAGGAGGCGAACCAGGACCAGGCGCCGCCTGGTGGAGGAAGGAAGACAAAGACACAAAACATAAACCACACAACAAGAGTCCTAACAAAAATGGGTTTTTAGGATATACTTTCATCTGCAGGATATTGCAAAAATTTTAAATATCCTGTCCAGAGGTGATGCTAGTCCACACATTTGTTACTTTCAAGGCTGGACTATTGTCATTTTTTACCATCAGCAAGTCCACAATGGGTAGTTAAAGTCCTTTAGGTCAGGGATGTCAAACTGGTTCTAGAAAGGGCTGCAGGTTTCCTTTCCAACCAAGCAATAGTACACCAGACTCCATTCATCTCATGAAGTCATCATGTTGACTAACTCAAGACTGGACTCACTTGATGAGATGACTGGAGTCTGTGTGCTATTGCTTGGTTGGAAAGAAAACCTGCAGCCACACGGCCCTTTCTGGAACCAGTTTGACACCCCTGCTTTAGGTGATCCAAAATGCTGCCGCCTGAATTTTGAGATCATATTTCTCCTATATTAGCCTCTCTACATTGGCTTTCTGTTGAATGTAGGTGGAAGCCTGAAGTGCACCCAGGCTAATCAAGACACACAGTTTGCTCTGCAGGTTTGAAAGTGCTGTAACAGTGATACAACATTGTCATTTCCCACGTGGGGGTTGAAGTCCCCCAGCAGAGTGATGGAATATCAGGGAGGGGCAATATCTAAAACCCTTCCCCAGGGATGCTAGGAAGAAGTGGTATTCACCCCAAAGGGCAAATAAACAGAGGTCTTCCCCTTACCTTAAGGTGAAGGGATGCAACCCTCTTGCAGCTGGGAAAGACTCTCCACGAACCATACCAATGTGGAAGAGAATTCAGTCTCTCTCAAAGAGATGGGTACTTAGAATTTATACATATCTGAACTCACTGGCAACATTTTTGCTGTAATTAATACCTTTTTACTACAAGTGGTTGTCTATGGCTTGAAGATGAATTTCAATTAAATTAAAAAACATACGAGCAGTTGTTCCTTCAAAGAAATGGAAACTGATTTGTTTTTCAGACTCAACACCAACTGCCCCAACAATCAAGAACAATACAACAGGCACCCCAAGTAAGGGCCTCAAAATATTTGTTTTGGTAATTTCTTAACTGTGTGTTTGGCATTTTATATGTATTATACCTTGTTCAATAAATACCTCTGTGGAACTGAAGGTCATTATTAAAATGAGGTATTTGGTAGTTACACTTTATTTTATAGTTTTAACAACATGGGCCACAACCATGAGAACTGAAGTGTACTAAATTCACACTTTTGCTGCTTTGCAGTAGTTGTTCCTAAATATAACAAACACCTAACTAAATGAAATGTTGGTCTAATGTTCTCTCCAGCAAAGACTAAAGGGAATTAAGCGCTTTTGTAAAAATTCAAACTTTTTTCAGTTCTTACCTTCAAGATGAAGAAGAAACTGTCTCATTAGGTTGTTAAAAACCTTTACTGAAAAAACTCAATTGTTCAAGCAAATACGATAGTATTAATTGGGTGTTTCACCTCAAATGAAAAAAAAAAAGTGCAGAGTCATGACAAAGATAAAGTGAAAAAAAGTGTTCGTTATAGTTTACTCGCATATTAATGCCTTTTTTTATTCATAGATTCAACACCTGAGGATACAACTTTTACCACTGTCACCAACACGACAGCCATTATGACCACTACTTTCACCAACACTACAGCCAATATGACCACTACTGTCACCAACACTACAGCCAATATGACCACTACTGTCACCAACACGACAGCCAATATCCCCGGTTCTGTCACCGCCACGACAACCCCTGTCACCAGCAATACAACAATTCCTAACATAGGTAAGGTATTTCATTAAGCTGCTGCCTTGTATTCCCAGATTCCTGGTAGATATGGTGTGAAACTTTTTTGTAGTGTCAACTGGAAAATGTTTGCAACACGTTTCGTACAGATGCTTCAAAATGTTAATTAAAAAATTCAATTGTTGAAACCAACCAAATCCCTGGGACATTTGTAAAATGTTTTAAATCCAATCAATTTCAAAAATCAGCTTTTGTTTTTTTTTTTGTCTCAATTCTGTCTGTTCTCAATATATTCTTAGAATTTAGCATTAGCAATAAAACTTAACAAACAGCAACACTGAGCTTTCTGAAAAGTGACAAACATAGACATCCCAAAATGAAAATAGGATATTTTGACACTTTTTCAAATATGACTTCCCAATTTAATATGGCAAACCAAACTTATTGATAATTATGACATCCCTACAGTCCGTTTTGAAGCAGAAGAAACTCTTTAAAACAGATGTTTAGGAGCACAGACATCTTATATTTATTTGAAAGGTTCTTTTAAAATATTTTAAATGAATTTTGAAATGATGATCATCTAACATCCCCCTCCCTCTCCCATCAGTGGGATTCACAGCTGTGGTAAAAAATCAGTCAGCTGTACAAGGTTTATGTGTCCAGGACTTACACATCCAGCACTGTCATAGGGATATGTACGTCCGGCTTTAAGTTTGCTGTAATTAAACCTTTACTTAAGAAACTGTCTCTTCACCCAGATGACTTGGTCAATGTAAACATATATCCAATCTTTCTTTGTTATCTAAAACTTTTAAGAAAGTAAATGCCAAACTAGTGTGTAGTTACTTAGTCCATAATGGACATTTTTAAGAGTTTCAACCTGGTTTTAGAGCTCTTCATTGTACCGAAAAAGCTGTGTCAAAAGTCATTAATGATATTCTTATGGCCTCAGAAAATGGTCGTGAATCTGATCTTGTCCTGTTAGATCTCAGTGCTGCATTTGATACGGTCCTTCATAATTGTTTTTTAGAAAGACTTTAGCATTTTGTTGTAATTGGGGGAACTGCATCAGGCTGGTTTAAATCTTTATTATCTTGCATTTGGATGTAATTAAATTAATCCAAGATAATAAAGTAAAACCCTTGGTGTTTTTTATGATCAGGAACTGTTGTTTAACAATTTTGCAATATCTGCAGGATATTGCAAAATTTTTTAATATCCTGTCCAAAGGTGATGCTTGTCCACACATTTGTTACTTTCAAGGCTAGACTATTGTCATTTTTTACCATCAGCAAGTCCACAATGGGTAGTTAAAGTCCTTTAGGTGATCCAAAATGCTGCTGCGTTTATTCTGAGATCAGATTTCTCCTATATTAGCCTCTCTTCATTGGCTTTCTGTTTAATGTAAAATATAATTAAAAATTCTTCTTCTCACATACAAAGCCTTAAATGGCCAAGCTCTTTCTTATATCAGAAATATGATTGTATCTTATGTTCCTAACAGAGCGCTTGCTCTCAATCTGCAGGTTTACTAGTGGTTCCTAGAATTCCTAAAAGTAGAATGGGAGGCAGATATTTTAGTTATCAGGCTCCTCTCCTGTTGGAATAACTATAACAAACTTATAGTTAGAGTTGCTTAGGTTACCCTGAGCTATCTCTATAGTTATGCTGCTATAGGCTTAGACTGCTGGAGGAAATTGCAACCACTTTTCTTGTTATAGTAGCTTCATATACAGTCTGTTCCCTTTTGGCTGTGACACCATCTCAGAGAGAAATACCAGCTGTGCTGTCATAATCAACACCTTTGTGTATAGATATTGGAGCTTGGCCTGTTTTTCGGTGTAGTCCTGTTGCTCACTGTCACTACATCCTTGCTTGGTATATAATATATGATATAATCAGCTGTTTTTTCCTTAGAGGAAAAATTAACCAATCTATGTTTATGATCTGGTTGAATTGTCTCTGTGCTGTAGAAATAAACTGAATTGAAATTGAATTGATCTTAAACATGAGTGTTAAATGTTAATAACTTAAATTGGATGTAACTTTTAATTTAAACCACTAGATGGTGGCAAAGTGCTTCCAATATTATCTGTGTGCTTCAATATGATAACACCTACAGCACCAAGTGTTATTGGAGAATATTAAGGTCCTAGATTTATTGAACATGCAAGCAACCTTTATTAATCCTGGAAGGGAGAACTACACTCTGCCGATTTCTGTCTGTTCTGATCAGGCAAAGGATATCCCTAATGACCTAAAACATACAAAGTAAAAATTGTAATTTACTTGTATGATAAAACTGTCAAATTAGGAAACAGAAAAAAATGTCTATTTAATCAGACAAAATTAGCTTAAAATAGCTTCCAAGTTTTTGAGGTATTTGAGTAATGTAGTTTTAGTATGTTCACCTTGTAATGTGATCATACATTTAATTAACAAGCACCTTTCAAGATCAGAGTATAATTCAACATGATACTAAATAAACAATAACAAGATAAATAACATAGCAAATAAATACAGAAAAAGAATTAAACATAAAACCACATCTCAACTGTTAAGATAGTGTCCATGCTTGCCATCTTATACATATGACCTAAATTAAAGAAATGTACTTACATTCATTAGATTGGATATGAAAGACGGAAACTAAAGAAAAAAATTTGATTTATATCAATGTGAGAGGTTTGCAGTGGATTTAATGTAGTGAAGGCATAAAGTACACATGAACAAAGTTTTTGGTAACACCGATCCCTATTTATTTACTGGATTGCTGATTGGCCATTGGAAGTACATGGTGCTGTGAATTCACCTGCCACCATATTGGTGCTCCCTGGAATGTAAGCAGTGTGCTACAGCATCAAACAAAGATTATGTTTCATCTTCTTTTGAAACAGAGATAAAGTCATTACTTTGACACTTGCTCTTTCATAGCATCAGTAGATTACTGTAATTTATAATAAAAAAAATAGGCACATAACATTACATATTCAGTATTGCAGTCCATACAGTCAATAAATCATGTAATATGATATTATACAAATACATCACAACATAATTAGTGTGTTAAAGGAGTATAATAATAACCAGACACTAAGAATATTACTCACGCACAAACATACACTAGCTTGTGATGTGCCAAAAGTACTAAATTGAGGATGTACTGTAATGTAAGATACATGTATTGATGATATTTCTATGTGATTACATATTACATTGTAGTCATTTTTATGGCGCTACTCCGTGAAAGTGGGGAGCACCAAGATGGTGGCAGGTGATTTCATTTTTTTCGGTCTATCAGCAAGCCACTGTATAAATAGAAATCAGTGGTTGGTACCCCTGGTTTCATGACTGAAAAACCTGCAATGATTACAAACAATGTTGAACATGAGCCCGATTGGTAAGCAGGTGCCTTCTGTAACTCAAAGCAACTTCTCTGATCTGTGTAGATCACAATTTCTATCAAAATCCTTTTTTTCTACAGCTGCAACTCTCACTGTCATAGCTTCAACAACTGCAGTAACTACACTTGTAACAAGTAAGGACTTCTATGTTAATGTTAATGCTCTGTATGTAGAATTCCAAAAAAATACACACATATCAACAAATGGTTTGATCCAGTCTACATTATGTCCTGTATAATAAGGAGGAAATTGAAGAGGGCATGTTTTAGATAAATGGCCATAACTGCGCTAGAATTGCCCAAAGTCCAGACCTAAGGACAAAGCTGGTAGAGCTGGTGACTCGGGGGCTAATAGAAATGTAGACAACACTGGTCAACGTCTCATTTTCTTTTAATTTTAAAGTTATGAAATGCTATATTGAATTGATGTGTTTTTTAACTACAGCAGTGAATATTGCTGCCTAAAATTATTCAAAATATTCAGAAAATCAGATTAAAAAGATTATTTAATGAATAATGTATTACAGTAAAATAACTTTTTAGTTGAAGCTATAATTTGCCTTATTATTGAAGGCCACTTCTACCCTTCTTGCACAAGTTTATTTAAAGTTAAAATCTTTTTAAATGTAAGTCTGATTAAAATTATTTACTCAGGTCTTAATAAATTATGAGGCCATTTTGAATCAGATCATAATTAATCAAACAAGAAGGATCAATTAAAGAAAATTGAACACATTGCAAAAACCCTTGACCTACAATAACCCTTATCTAATGATTTTGACACAGACAATAACTTTCTTTATATGCACTCTTTTCATGATTTAAATCCAAAAGACATAACTCAAGATTTGTGAAACGCTTAAGTACAACTTTAAAGCTGTTAGTTGATAAAGAAGGAAACATCTGAGATTGTGATATACTCATATCTAAACCTTGAAAATATTTTAGGTACAATGCTCCAAAATACAACAATGAACACGACGACCCCAGTTCCTTCGACTGTGCTTGAAACAACAAACAGTACTACCATTGCCTCCCCCGCTACTAACACAACAACTATGATCATTCCTACAATGTCCTCTAACATAACCCCACCTACAACCCCTATTGTAAAGGATACTACAATTCCCACCATATTTAACAGCACAACTAACCCCGGTGTTGACACCACAACCCAACATTTTACAAGCAGTACAGTTGCCACCCTCCTACTCAGTACTAATTCCACGACTACCACCTCTATTTCCCTGACAACTAATCTCAGTACATCAACATCTATCCCCTCAACAACGACTAAAACAACCAATCCAACTCAGCCTACAACCACAACCCAGCCAGCAACTACCACTTTTTTACCCACAACTAATACAACTAGCACTAATCCCACAACAAACTCGACTTCTGCCACCACAAAACGATCAACTCCAACCAGTACTACAACCACAACTACTTCTAATATCCCAACAACTACAACCACAACTACCACAACAACTACCAGTACAGCCACAAGTGCAACTACAAGTTCAACTGGAAGTGCAACTACTACATTCACTACTGTGACCACCCTTGGCACCTCACCTCCTACCACCACTCCTATTTCCACTACAACTGTGCTTGTAACAGGTAATGTTGATCTGACAAATCAACGTTTGTGTCTCGAGAATAAAAACAGATAAAATACCCTTTATATACAACAAAAAGAACCATGTACACCTTTTTAACTGTTTCTCAAAGTTCTCAAATGATTAATGACATGAAATCCTTAAAATTCCACTGTTTACTTTGAATATTTCCAGAAAGTAGTCTTTATTGGGACATGAGTTTTGAAAGGATTCCCTGTGTTTCTCAGTAAAAAAAAAACAGCATCAAAAAATTAATGATTGCTCTATTTTACAACAGGGATTGCTACTCCAATCTCAATTGAATTAGATAAGGAGTTTATACAAGCATATAAAAATAAGAGCAGCCAACCATACATTGACCTTAAATCAGATATTGATACAGTGGTAAGTATGTTTTGAGTTTTATATTGATTCAGTTTTGTATGTGTTTGTGCCTTAGTACTTGTTAAATCAACCACATCTATTTCCATAGCTGGTGGACCAGTATAAAGACATACCGGGATTTATTGATGCGTTTGTGACCGGCTTCAGGTACCTGGATTTTTACGGTTATCAAAAAAAAAAAAAACAATGCAGTCTTAATTCTCACATGCTTCTGCTCATGATTTTTGGTTTGATTTGTTTCACAGAGAAGGAAGTGTTATTGTAGACTTTATTGTCAGGACAACTGAATTTGATGACAGTCAAATTGCTGCGGCAAATGAAAAACTATTTACAGCCATGATCCCTATAGCCCCTGTTTTTAAAGACTCACTAGTTGTTCCAGAGAAAACAAGTAAGTTTACAGCTGTTGGTTTGTTTCAATTTGTATTTGTTTTTTGGAAATTGAAATCCTAGTAAATTTATTGGACTTTATTTGCAGGTGAAACACAAATGAACCTAGATCGGACACCCATTTACACTGGCGAAAGCATGACATTGACATGTGATCCTCCTGGTTACAATCTGGGAAATGATGTTAGATTTGAATGGAAATTTAATGGATTGGCAATTTCATCACGAAGGCATGAAATTTCTCCAAACCGACCATTCAAACTGAAAGTTACCAAAGTGATTCTTGCTGATGCTGGTACGTAAGTTAGTCAACACTATTTGAAAAACTGATAGATAAGAGGTTCTCATATGATTTAAATGTTAAAACTAATCTTTATATTAGTTTAAAACCTAATCTTCCATATGCTACCCCAACTCTATATACAGTATGTATTGGTTTGCTTAATACAATATAAACATTCTTGGTCATGTAAATTTCTTCTTATTATTATTTTTCTTATTAAACACTATAGACATTAGACCCCAAAAGGATGTCCTGTCTCCATATTTGAAGGTGTGTAAAACTTAATAGGTTGATAAATAAAACTTTTAACTTAAGTACACTTTTAAACAGTTAGGTATCACCGTCAGCTGAATGTAAAAATTTGACCATATTAAACATCTATCCAATAAATTAAGGTATTACAGTTCTGCAAGGTGGCTTTAATCTACTGTTTCTTTATTTTCTACTATCCAACAAATTGGATCATTGCTGTTCGTACAATTAATATTAATGTAATGACAGCTACAAGTATATAAGTATTTTGGTTCACCTACTAGCATTAAGACAAAGCTTATATCATATTTTGGTGACAAGGATTTGGCTTCCATGCACTGCTTACACATTTACTGTAAATATATATATATGTGTGTTTGCATATAGATATATGTGTGTATAATTGAATGCTAAAACTCAAAATTATACCTCTTCTTATTTTAGGAGAATATCAATGCACATTGAAGGGACGAGCAATTTCAGTCCACCAGTATAGGAGAGTGCAACCTGATCAAATCCAAGCAGCTCCCATTGTACAAGTTCAGCGTACAATGTTTGCTCAGTGTGACCAAGGGAAGACTGTAGCTCTTGAGTGTTGTGTCCAGTCCCCTTTCAAAGTAAAATGGTTTGCTGGTTCTAATTCTTTATCATCCAGTAAGTATTTACTGATGGAATAAAATAAACAATCTAATTAGTTTCAAGGATTGGATGTTGTTTTTGTTATGTTTAACACAATGTAAAATGTTTGCAGGTCCAAGTGAAAACCCAAACTGCATCATTTATCAACATCCCATGCAAAGCTGCACAGTAGAAAAGAAAGAAACATTTACATGCAAAGTAGAAAATCCAGTGGGTTTTGAAGATAAAACCACTCTGACCATCTTTTTGGATCGTAAGAGCATTGAAAAAAATGTCATATATTGATGCAGTGCTTATGATTTTTTTTTGCTCAGCTTGCTGTTTTGAACTTTCTAGCAATTATCTGCAATGATGATGAGTATGGGGCTGGAAGAACAGGTGACAGAGCAGAAGGAAAGTGTGAAGAAGGTCAAACGGGGGCCAAGATTGTAGAGTGTCTGGCATCAGGAAACTGGAAACTTGTAGAGGACAACTGCATTGTAGCCATAATCAATGAATTACAAATTGAGGCAGAGGTAGGTGATTTTAGACTGTTTTTCATGGAGGATTACCTAATCTACTGCTGTTTTATTTGCGCAACAATGAAAACCTTTAATTTTGCAACTGAAAAAAAACAAATTTCTTACCTTAGAGTACAGAATGATTCTCCAAGGCTGGTGGCTTGTGAAAATCTTTAAAACTATTTGGCAATTCTTTCACTTTTATTTCAAAATCATATCATGACCCAGCTCCTTTCCACAGTTCACCTTCGACAATATGATGGTCCCACGTGAAAAGAGCTTTAGGGTATTTTTTGGATCCGAGACAGTCCCTTTAAATACCACTAAGCCATCATGTTCTTGGCTCTCACCCCCTGAATAGATAAATAAATGGCCAGGTTAAATATCAATATGGAAAAATTCAAATTCAATAGACATATTGTGGCTGCTCAGTTATTACCAAGCTAGTTTTCATAAAGTGAAAACAGATGTTTATCTGTTCTTCAACCTTCGTGCATTATTTATACACATTTGTTTCTGTTTTACTTTTGTTCAGGATCTGAAAGAGCAAGAAATACCAGTATTCACAGGAAATTTAAGTAAAGCTGTACAGAAAGAAGAAAAACAAATCACCAAGTCATCCGCAACAATATCTGCTATTGTTAATATCTTAAATACAATTGCAAGTGTTTCAACAGATGTAAAAGAAGATGTCATGCAGGTATAGTAAATATTCTGTTCTCTAAACAACTTCTTTATCACCAGTAAGTGGATGTTTTTTTTTATTATTATGCTTATACTCATTACACGTCTCTTCTTCTACAGAATGTACTGGATACTGTTGATGTCATAATTAGTGATGATGCAAAGGATTCTTGGACTTTTCTGAATACAGATGAAAACCAAAATTCCAGCTCACTTTTGCTAGGTTCACTAGAAACGCTTTCTGAAAGGCTAAATGGAACATTTACATTACGTACCCAAAGGATTCAGCTTACAAGAACAACATTCAGAAACTCATTCAGTGAAGAGCTGAACTCCACAGTGTCAATAACAATCCCAGCAACAGGCCCCAAAGATATAGTTATCACCACAATTCTTTTTTCCTCTTTGAATAATGTTATGCCAACACGGACCTCTACGTTCAACGTTAGCCTTTTGAATTCCACCAGCAATGAAACTGACACTGAGAATGCCATCAACGCTGCTGTTCTTCTTGTCAAAATAGATGAAACAATTAAAAATGTTACCTTAAGTTACAACAAGCTCAATACAACCCTAAAACAAAATCCACAGTGCGTCTTCTGGAATTTTACACTCTTAGATGAAATTGGGGCTTGGGATGATGAGGGCTGTGAGTTTGTTTCTGACATAAATGACACTGTAACCTGCACCTGCAATCACCTTACATCTTTCTCAATTCTTATGTCAACTAGTATCCCTGAATCAATCAGAACATTATTGGATATAATGACATATATTGGAGTTGGGATATCAATGATCAGCCTTCTAATTTGCCTCGTTATTGAAGGAATTGTTTGGAGAGCCCTAACCAAAAATAGCACTGCTTTTATGCGCCATGTTGCCATTGTCAACACAGCGCTGTCCCTGCTGATTGCTGACATCTGCTTTATCATTGGAGCAGCTATCGCAAAGAACCCTAAAGAAAACCCAGATGAGG